GATATAAAGAGAAACAAACAAATACATTCTTCCCACACCCTCCAATGGATCATTGAACATAGATCAGAATGTACTAACCCACCCCTAAGTCATTGACTTTATATTTCTCTGCCTGGAAGTGACATTGGGGTTACCAGTTGTAGAATCCATGGGGTAGGATACAACAAAACTTTTCAACTACTTGTTTTGATTCAACCTTTCACTGAACTGAATGCGTTAAAATGGACAATGAATAAAATAAAATATCCTTTAATAAAATTACAATGGAAAGCAAAGGAGTAAATATAACATGTATTTCTTTTCTCTTTCTAATGTCATAGAAGATTGTGAGCCATCTGTGTCCCTCAGCTACTAAGCAGAAGGGTGGGCTCATCTTGTTGATAGCTGATATGCAGAGAAATGTTAATTTACACAATGAAAGCAATAGTTCCTGTTGCTCATATCAAACTTACTCTCCACCTAGGACCCTAAAAATCTGTCATCTCTATAAATAATTAGTCTAATTTGTCACATAGCCATTTAAAATAATAAAGTCATGAACCTCACCAAGCTTATTTTTGAAACTTCAAAATAACTTAATATGCAGAACAGTGTGTTCAGTCACTGTGTTAGTTGGTTGGGGATGAAATGGGGAAAACAAACTTCCCCTTTAACAGATCCTTGAAAATGGCTTCTTGGTGTGGTAGTTGGTTTTTTAATTCAGTGTGATAAGATATTGTGAGTCTTCTTCTCTGCCCAACTTCCAGAAGATAGGGGACGTGGAATGGATGCTATCCGGATATGTAACTTTCATGTATATGTCTACATAATTTACCCCTCGTGACCTAAAAGGTCTAGCAACATGTATGAAGATACAAAATCCTAGATTTATAATAAAATTGAATTAAAAACTTAATAAATTTAAGCCAGTCAAAAAAGAGGGACATATGCATAGAATAAGCAAGACAACATAAGATTGTAGAAATCATTCTTAGTTTAACAGTATTCTCAACAAATTCTCAAAAAAAGGAACATGTCATCAATTTAAATGTGAAGTTATTATATTTGATAAGGAAACAAAATCAAAATTATACAGTTTTAAAAGAGATGCACCTTTAAAATGTAAGGATGTAGAGAGGTTGAAAGTTAAATGTGGGAGAAATATATCAGGAAAACAATAACAGAAAACAGCTGTTAGAGCCATACTAATAACAGATAAAATAGATTGCAATTAAAAAGATAGAATTTCTTTTACTAAAAAATGATTTGATTTACCTCTAAATCATGAAAATTTTGCTTACATTGGGAGTTCCAGTGACTGTTACTTGTACGCACATAATAACAGTCTTAAAATATATAAAGTCAAATTCAGAGAAATTACAAAGAGAAAATTTCAGATCTGTTAGTGAGAAATTTTTAACATTTATTCTTTGAGTAAAGCTTTGCTAAGCATAGCATTTGTTTATTTCAGGTTTCCTTCTAAGTGCTTAGGAAGTAACAGTGAATACATAAAAATTTCTGTTCTTTATGAAGTACATCTTCTCTGGGTGGAAAAATTAATGAGAAAAATTAATATGTTAGCTATTCATAAGCACTAGAAAGAAAAAAAATGAGGATAAAGACAGAATGTGATGAAGTAAATAAGTTGTTTAGGTTGTCATGCAGGTAGGTGGGGACGTGGAATGGATGCTATCCAGATATGTAACTTTCATGTATATGTCTACATAATTTACCCCTTGTGACCTAAAAGGTCTAGCAACATATTTGAAGATACAAAATCCTAGATTTATAATAAAATTGAATTAAAAACTTAATAAATTTAAAGCCAGTCAAAAAGAGGGACATATCATAGAATAAGCATAAGGTGACCTAAATGAAGTCAGGAAGAAAGTCAAGTTCATGGATTAAATAAAAGAATTTGAAATGGTGGAATTGGCAAGTGTATTGCCCTGAGGAAGTGGAGTTCTTGGTCTGTTCTAGGAACCACAGTGAGGTTGGTGTAGAGTACATGAGGAGTGTCCCTGAAGATGACATTTTTCTCTATATAGACATTTTAAATGTTCTTTCATATACTAAATAATCCCTATTAAAATACTTATGATGGATGAATAGTACATGTAATAGTTTGTCGCTAGATGAATGGTACATGTAAATTTTGTCGATAAGTAAAACTAAGTGAAAGCATATCACTTCCTGAAAAATAAAAGATCCAAAGAAGAAATAGAAAACCTGAATATAACTTAAAAAAATCAAATAGTTGAACATCTTTCCAAAAAAAGAAAAATGCCAAACCCAAATTATTTTTCAAGCACATTCACCAAACATGCAAGAAAAAAAAAAAGTTTTGTCAAATTCTCCCAGAGAATGGAAAATATAGGAATATTTCCTAATTCATTTTGAAAGGCTAGAATTTCTGGATCCCAAACTCCATAGGACTATAAATATCAAAGAGAAATTGTACCCTAATATCACCTCTAAGTGGCAATACAATTCAGCAATGCATGCTAAAAAATGTTTGTATAAATTAGTAGAACCATTTCAAAAAATCTGACAGAATGCAGCAGGAAACAGCAAATTTTCTCTGTGAAGAACTAGATGTAAACATTGTAGACACTGCAGATCACACTGTCTCTGCCACAACTGTGCAGCACTGCCACAGTGGTGTGAAAATATCTATACCCAATATATAAGCAAATGGGTTTAACTGTAGTTAAAAAAAAAAAAAACAACTTTATTTACAAGAATAGGTGACAAGCTGAATTTGGCCCATGGCAGCACTTTGCAGATCCCAGACATATATAGAAGCTAAATGCATTCCATTCTGTGCCCAGAAATTCCACTTCTAGATATATTCCCAACAGAAATGGATAATGTCTGTTTACCAAAAGATGCAATGAAATGTCCATTGCAGCACTATTTTCAATAGCTAAAAACTTGAAAAAACACAACCATCCTCAATAATAGAATAAATGAATAAATTGTGGGATAGTTGTGTAGTATATAATATGGTCTAACAATGAGAATTCTCACAAATGTGAAGTTGAACAACATAGACAAGAAACATATTTATGATTTTATTCCTATAAAAGTTCAAAAGCAGAAATAATCTGTGATATCACCAGTCAGGACACTGGATAGCCTTGGAGGGTGTGTGACAGACAAGTACCATAATAGGGCTTCTGAGAGGCTGGTCATGTTTTGTTTGTTTGTTGGGGCTGAATTTTTTTGGTGGAAAGTTTCTGTGCTGCTTATGTTTTATCTAAGTACTTTTCTATGTGTATATTTTAATTAAAAGTTCCAATTTTAAAGGTAAAAAGAGTTAATAGATGAAAGCAAGGTTGGGTTCATTGGAAAATGCAAGGCCTGTCTTACATTAGAAAATATGTTAATGCAATCACCACATTAATCAGTCCAAACAGAAGACTCATAGCTGAATTGATGCATAAAAGCATTTGTAAGAATTAAAAACCCATTGATAAGGAACTAAAAAATCTCATAAATTTAGTA